TGGGGAATTATATACATATATTGCATCTTAATCCTCTTTACTTTCCCTTCTCCTCTCCTAACTCCCCCTTCCCTAGATCCTCTCCCTATTTACACAAAGTCTACCTTCCTGTTTCCTAACATCTACTTTTATTTTGCTCTTTAAATTATTTATATTTTGTGTTTCTCATGTATGAGCAATCATGTGATATTTATGCTTATGTGACTTATTTATTTTACTTAGCATTATGGTCTCAAGGTGTATTCATTTTCCCATAAATGACTAAATTTTTTTCTTTCCTTCTTCCTTTCTTTTTTTTTCTGGTACCTGGGATTGAACTCAGGACCTTGGTTTGCAAGGCAGGCATGGTACCACTGACCTAAATCCCCAGTTCTAATTTCCTTTACCCACTTATCTGTTGAGTGGCATACAGGCCACTTCTATATTATGAGTTTTGCTGCTATAAACATGAAAATGCATGTATCTCTGTAATATGATGTCTGGAACTCTTTTGGAAAGATACCTAGAAGAGATATAACCAGGTCCAATGAGATTTCTAGTTCTAATTTTTTCAGGAATCTCCATATTGGTTTCCATAATGGTTGTACTAGTATACATTTTCAACAACAGTGTAAAAGTGTTCCCTTTCCCCTGCAATCTCTCCGGCATTTGTTCTTTTTGAGTTCTTAATGATGGCCATTCTTTCTGGAGTAAGAGAGAATCTTCAAGTTGTTTTGATTTGCATTTCTCTAATGGGCAAAGATGCTGAACATTATTTAATGTACTGATGGGCCATTTGTACTTCTTCTTTTAGAAGGTATCTATTAATTTCAATTGCCCATTCTTGATTGGGTGTTTTATTGGGGGAGGTCTAAGTTTTTGAGTTATTTATATATTCTAGATATTAGTCCTCTGTAGAATAACTGGAAAAAGTTTTTTCCCCCATTCTGTAGGTCATCTCTTCACTTTTTTGTTTATTTCCTTTGCTTGCAGTTTTTTAATTTGATATGATGCCATTTGTTGATTTTGGTATAAAATGTACTCTCTTTAAGATTATGCAATTTCTTCTCAGACTTGGAAAACCTCAGGATGACAGCAAAAAGCTGAACTTTAGAGATACTGAATGTCTTCAGTGGCAAGTAGTGCTAGATGGAGTAGGAGATTACTGAGGAGGAACAAAGCAGACAGCCACACTTCAAAAGAGGAGTTACTTCCCATACTCACTGTGATACTTTCCACCTGTTAAGAAAAGTGGCTTGTATCATTCTTGTAATTCTGCTTTCAAGTTCCAATATATTAAGTTAATTTATTATGTATCAATAGCAGTCAAATATTTAGTACAATTAATAATTAGCCCATTAGCTGGTTCATTTGCTGCAGGCTCTCTCTTACAAAACTGTAATTAAAGTGGCAGCCAGGGTTGTGCTCTCATCTGAACTCTAGACAGGGGAAGGGCTGGCTTCCATGCTCCCTTATATTGCCAGGACTCAGTTCCTCAAAGGTGTTAGACTGTGAGCCTCAGCTCAGTGCTAAAGGCTACCTTCAACTTTTTGTTTTGTGTTTCTCACCCACTTTTCAGCTACTCTCATTAATATTCACAGAAGGCTGGAAGTTGGGGGTACAAAGCCTTAATCTTTATAACATAATCATGGAATAGCAACCCCTCCATACTACCATAGACTGTTGATTAGAAGGAAGTTATTCAGGGGAGGAAGTATACAACTGATTACTAGGCGAGAATCATTGCGGGGGGGCCTCTTTAGAGGTAATCTGCTACAGCACTTGACAACACATAGCCAGCCATAAAAGAAAAAGGAAATAGAAAAGTAGGGTGCAAGGAAAGAGACAGAAAGGGGGAAGGTAAATGGGAGGGAAATATAGACATAAAAAAAGACGAAAATAGCTTTGCTGCACTATGTCTGTATCAAGGTCCTATGGGGGGCACACACTTCTTCACATTAACACCACAACCATGAATTTCCTATTTCTTATTTAGAATGAGAAGATAATGTGAGCTTTCTATACATCTGGAGTTAAAAGAAAACAGAAAAAATAAATTATAGAAGAAAACTGAACACTGAGTTTAAGTAAGCTAAGTATGTTTCAGATTAGTCCTTTTCTTCTTTTTAAGTTTTTTTTTCCAGCTAGCAATCTATTTCTTTTTTTCTGTTTCATGTTTTGGATTGATTTACTATTCTTGCTGTTGTGTGACCAGTATATTACAAAGGGAATATAGAAATTTTCTGTTCCAGGTTTTGTGTTGATTTGACATTCTTGCCATTATGTGACAGGCATATTACACAGGGAATATAGAAACCTGGGTGGTGTTTGCATTTGGTGTTCTCTGCCTGTTTAGCTCAAATGTTGAAATTACATTTTGGTTCTACTCATTATTGTTAATTGATCTATGTGTCACTCAGTTATAAACATGAAGTTGTAAATTGTCATGTAGCTCATCTATTCTAGGCTTTCTAGTGGACGCCAAGGTCTAAATGGGTTAAGAAGGTTAAAGTTAAATAGTGTCAGATTAGATTAGAATACAAAACTCTCAATTTCTAATCTAGTGCATCTTCTCTTCTTATATTTTGTGCAAATGAGTGGTCAGAACGTAAAATGTTCTCCTTAAACTCCAGGCATTAAAATACTTATGGTTTAAATATGTCTTAGTGGTCATTAATTTTCTAAAAGGAAAATTACCTTCAGTTTTGGCTAACAGAGAAAAGGAACTTTTCCAGGTACTCTCGTGTATGATAGATGTTTGCCTTACAAAACACACACCCTTTTCTTTGTATTCATTTGTAGATCACTCAAGCTCCAATTTTTTCTTGAAGGAAGAGGAATTAGTAAACACCATGTAGAAGGGGTGGCTATTTTCCTTTGGAACAGGGAAAATCCTACCCATGTCCCAGAACTCTTGTAAATTTCTCATTTACAAGAAATATTTCCTGCAAAAGAATAACCACCATGGAATTTTATTATTTAAAAATGTCCTGCTGCCCTCAACCTGTGTTCTCAAGGCTTAGATCAAGTCTGCAACCTAGAATTTCCTGGAGGTTCACTTCCTTGTGGCCAGACTATTCAGAGCAACAGGTTTTCTTTCACCAGGACACATTTCCCAAGCCTGAGCTTCTTCACAACATTAATATGGTATTAGTGGAAAGGGGATGCTGGCCCTTTCCCACTTCTCCACTTCCCTGCTGTCATTCTTTCTTACTCTCCCTCCCCACCCCCACTAATAGGAAGTCCATGAGGACCAAGATTTTATCTGTTTTGTTCACTGCTCTATTCTCAAAACTGCCTGGCACAAAATTGATTTTTTATAAGTGTTTGTTGACAAAATGGTCAAACAATGAATTTGTTTAGGTTTATAAAGGTCTTGTAAGGGTACAAGTCTGTTGCCAAAGGAAAAAAGAGTTGTGTTTTGGCTCAGAACACCAGATATGTACCTGAAATTTAGAATCAGAATTGTGTCTCTGTTTGCATCTCATTTATTTTGAAATGACTTTTAAAGTATTCATAAAGATACTTTTAAGATCGAAACCCTTCCTAATGCCTAAGTATGAGAGTTTTAGATGAGAAAGCAAATTAATTGTTTCCAATCAAAGTAAAAACGAATCACAAAGAAGAAGGAAAGGAAAGGAAAGGGAAGGAAAGGAAAGCAGAAGAGAGGGGAGAGGAGGGGAGGAAAAGAAGGACTGAAACAATGGAGCGTACAAGGAAGACAGGGAAGGAAGGAGGGAGGAAATAAGGAAAAGAGAGAAGAGGGAAGAAGAGAAGGAAGGAGGAAATTTGACTATGTTCAAAATGGCATGGATGCATTTTAGGTATACAATACAGTTATAATCATCATTGGGATCTTGTATCTAAAACTTAATGGAAAAAAATAAAAATTAAAAAATGTCTTGGATGTCAAAACACTGAGAATTGATATACAAAAATGAGTTTTTTCAGATTTGTCCATTGCACATCTACAGCTGCAAATTTCATAGATGTAGACAGATTTTTGACTAATATTCTAATGTAAGAGTCATTCTCTACTTCCCAGATTAGAATTGACACATATATATGCATACATTCTTTAGAGTTTATATTTACTTAGTGTATTTACTAGCTGAATCTCTTAAAAGAATGCAAGCCAGGTACTCTCACATATAATAGATGTTTGCCTTAAAAAAATACACACCTTTTTCTCTGTATTCATTTGTAGATCACACAAGCTCCAATTTTTTCTTGCAGGAAGAGGAGTTAGTAAACACCACATAGAAAGGGCTGGTCATTTTCCTTTGGAACAGGGAAAATTCTACCCATGTCCCAGAACTCTTGTTCAAAAACCTATAGAAAGAAAAATATCCCTGTGCTGATGCTGTGCTTACCATGCCGCATCCCCAGTGTCTACCTAAAGTCAACTCAGCCCTCTGTAAAGGACAGCTGCCACCATGCACCTTGCTGGACACCTTCAACTCAGGAGCAGGCACAGTTTAGAAGTAACTGAGAGTAAACATCTCCAATGCCACCCTCGACCTGTGGATGTTGCAGGTTGGTGGATAAGTCTCAACCTCCCATCCTTCTGTAGGACAACAGCGAGGCATATCCTACACAGTATCCAACTGGCCACTGTGGTAACCAGCTCAATAGCACACGGATTACTCTCTGTTCTTCTTGTCCTTCCCACTCTCCCTATTCTCTCACTTCTAGTTCCTAGGATCACCTTCTAAATGAATTAGCTGCATCCAAATCTTTATCTCTAGTTCTGGTTTATTAAATAGGCCCTGAAGAATAATGCTTGAAATAAAGGCAAAACAGTTTGTCTTAGAATCAGAATCTGATATTGGCAACCAATAGGCTTTACAACCATGATTTAGGAAAATAGCTTTTGTAGAAGACATTGGCAATAATCTCTTAGATATGAAATAGGCTGGTTTTATCAAAGTGGTTTCTTCTGTACATACTTTGAATATGTGTTTCTTTGGGACCATACATGACCCTTTAATCTCATGCCTGCTTTTTAAAAAATTCTATAGATTCTTCTGGGAACCCTAAGATCACCAGGTGCCGTTCACCTGAACTAGAGACATTTTCATGCTACTGGACAGATGGGGGTCATCATGATTTAAAGATGCCAGGATTCATACAGCTGTTCTATGTTAAAAGGTGCGTCCATCATATTTTTCTGATTTCTCTCTCTGTGAATTATCTCATTAAAGTGTATGAGCCACAGATAGTGTAGGAATGGAGGTGATTTATTTTGAAGACCTAAATGCATTCATTCATTTAAAAAATATTAATTAAACTCTTACTATGTGCTAGGTACTGTTTTAGGCACTAGAGACATAACAGTGATTACAAAAAGATAAAAATTCTTGGTCTCATGGAGATTCCTTTCCAGTGTGGAGGAGAGAGACAATAAAAAATAAATAAAGGATCACCTGGTAACATCAGGTTATTAAAATAAAGCCAGAAAAAAGATAAAGAATGTCATCACCATGTTTGAGCATGTGCATGAGTGTGTGTGTGTATGTGTGTGTGTATGTGTGTGTGTGTGTGTCAAAGGGGGAGTGAGAGTATGTGGATATACATGAGTGTGTGAATGTGAGTGGCACTGTGTTTTGGGTGCTTGAGTGACACTTGAGATGGGGAGTCATAAAAGGCCTCTCCAATGTGGTGTGTTTAGAGCAGACAAAGAAATGCAGGGAGAGAGACCACGTGAGTATCTGAGGGAAAGACTGTGTAGGCAGAGAAAATTGCAAGTACAAATTGAGGCAGTCTCAGCATGTTTGAGGAAAGTGGAAGGCCAGAAGGAGTGGCACAAGGCTGAAAATGGGAGAAAGTGATATGGGAAGGAGTTAGAGAGTTACTTGGGGACAGACCTGTCAAGCCTTCCAGGCCAGGGAGGGCTTTAAATTTTTATTTGTGGTGGAAAGCCATAGATGTGCTTTGAAAACTGTATGTTTTCAAAGATTCATCTTGGGTTTCTACATAGAGAATAGACTATCTTCCTCTTAAATTAGTTATATTCACTGAAGAACTGTAATACTTTCTCATTGTCACTATGGTCCTAAAAAATAACAGAGGAAGAGAAAGACAAAGATCTTGAAATGTAGTCACTACCCAATCAGTTTATTTTTAACCCTTTGCTTGGAATTATTTCCTTTTTGTTATTCTTACATTATATCCTTTCTTAATTGACACATATGCACATATTTATGGCATATGTATGGCATATGTATGAGATTTCAATACATGCATATAGTGTGTAATGATCAGATTTGGGTAATGGACATATCTGTCACCTCAAACATTTATCATCATTTATCATTTCTCTATGTTGGGAACATTCAGAATCCTCTCCACTAGCAGTTTTGAAATATTCAGTTAATTGTCGTCACCATAGTCACCCTACTGTATTATAGAACAACACTATACATTTTTACTTTTTAAAATTTCAGGCTTAAACACTTCAACATCTCTTCTTTACCACGAGAGAAGGCCTAAACCAAGACACAAAGTTAGTGAGGATCTTTAAGTTTAGAATCATATTTATCCATTGGGTACCCACTGAGGACCTGGGAAAAGAAAGGAAGATGCAGCCAGCATTTAGGAACCTGAGCTCAGAATCACAAACTCTGCATTTCAGCCTTGCTCCAGCACTTGCTCGCCAAAAAATTCTGAACAAATTGGTCAAGCTGTGTACAGCTCAGCCTCCTCACCTGCAAAATGGAGATAACAGACTTGCCTCATGGCTTTTTGTGAGGATTTTGTTAGATAATACTCAAAAAACATTTGGCACAGACCTTCACACATAATTATTCAATAAATGGTAGCTGCTTTTCATATTGTTGGTAGTCTAATAATAATAATTTAAAATAACAATGATGTAGGAGCCCAATTCTGGACTATACAAATGACTTCTTAATTCTTTACTGTTGGTGTCATTAGTATAAGTGACACCCTTTTTAGTACAAAGCTAGATTCTTAATTTGCAACTAACAAATACTTTGAGTTAGCAACCATGAGTGGCCTTACTCACCTGCTAGGTATGAGAGGGGCTCTTGGAAACATCAGAAAGGGTACACAAAGATGAGCTGGTTGAGTAACAAATATGCCCTTTATTTGCCTTATGGTTGACATTGCAGAGAAGTATGGGCCAGTAAATAAAGCTGGTTTCTATAAGTATAGTCAATCATGAAGCTAAGGTGTTTGGTAACACTTTTCAGCATATATGAATTGATTGTGCTATTCATAAATGAAGAGAAACAGTAGGTGGAGTTTTGTGCTTTTCTTCAACAAATCAGAGCTAGCTCAATCAAAATTAATAAAATAATTTATTCATTCAGACTCATACAGCAAAGACAATGCAGATCATCTTCTGACTCTTATCATTGTTTCTTAGAGTTCAGTTCCCAGACACTGCAGAAAATATAGAATCATTTTTATTGTCCCTGACACACACCTAACAGTGTGACATGATTTTATCCAACACTGGAGTCACTGAAGGCAGAGAGGAACAGGGAAGGCCTGGCCTTGTTATCCAAAGCACAAGGGGATCTAGACATATTGGGCTGTCAATAGGAGATCAAATGCACAGGTACATAGGCACTTTTGTGCTTTGCTTGGTCCTGTTCATCTTGCCAGGTGAGCTGGAGAAGAGGCAGCCACAGTATATTAGGACAGCTGATTCAGAATAGTCTCTGCCACCCAGTGATGGAAGTGGTGCCAAATTCAGCCTCTAAGCTTGAAGTTGACCCAGCATGAATGCAAATGACAGGCATAGCAAAAGCAGGCTGTGGAAGCATGGCAGAGCTCCTTTGCCCTCAGCTCCTCCATTGGATATGGCATTATTTTCAAAGGAACTGGGTATGTGAACCCTTGGTTCATTAAGGGTGCATCCTCCTACCTTTGACATCCTCCACAATAGTCTCCTCCAAAAATTACCCTGCCTAGAGCAACCCCCAATGCCGAGGAGGAGCCTTCACTAAGGTACCATGAGAAATCAATCCAGCAGCTGCTAAATGATCCAAAGAAGAATAACAGAAGACTGATTAGAGTCAATGAAGAAACAGGAGAGAGTGCAGATGACATAAAAAAATTGTTCACAGAAGTGATGGCAGAAAACTTCCCAACCAGGGGAAAAGAACTGGACATACAGATAAGTGAGGCATATAGGACTCCAACTAGACTTGATCAAAAAAAAAATTTTTTTCACATACACATATAATAGTTAAGATTCCAGAAACCCAACAGAAGAACACAATTCTACAAGCAGAGAAAAGAAATAAATCACATACAAAGGAAAGCCCATCAGAATCACAGCAGACTTCTCAACACAAACC